AAAGAGTAGGAGGAAAAAGTAAAGATGGAGAAACATATAAAAAAGAAAAACAAGAGGAGAAAGAGAAGGGAAAGAAGAGATAAAAAAGCATAGGGGAAAATAATAGGAAGAAGAAAAAAAAGTGAAGAGGAGTAGAATGAGAACATAACGATAATAACGCGTGTGATAACGTGGGTGAAAATACAAAAGTTGATGCCAAAGAAGGAGAAGAAAGAGAAGAAGAAGAAGAAAGAGAGAGAATTTGAATAAGAAGAGGCGATAGAACACCAAATCCTCAGGCGCCAAGCACGAGTCACGGCTTCACTGACAGTTTCTGCCCTCCGTTCACACCTTCTCCCTCCCTCCCTCCCTCCTCCCCTCCTTCCCTCTTTCGTTTCACTTACTTTTCTCCCTCGTATCCCTCCTTCCCTCCCTCCCTCCTTCCCTCCTTCCTTTCTTCCTTCCTGCGTTTCACTTACTCGTCTCCCTCATTTCCCTCCTTCCCTCTTTCCCTCTTTCCCTCCCTCCCTCCTTCCCTCCTTCGTTTCACTCTCTCCCGTCTCGTATCTCCTCATCTCTCCCTCATTCCTTCATCTCCCTTTCATTTTTTTTCCATATTTGGGTATCAGTAGGCATTCGTAATTCAGCCTATGTTAAAATGACGTGGGCGTTCATTCACATCCACTTCAGGGAAATTTGCGAAGGTCCTTTTTTTTTTTTTACTTTCATAAGATTATTTACGGAATCGAAGGACATTCCCCGCAGGATTTTGATTCCAGTTTGCGGAGTTTATGGATTTTATATAAAGGAAAAAATCGGGAAAAAGATTCGTTCTTCTTCTTCTTCAAAAAAAAAAATCCCAAGTAAAGTTCCCCAAATAGATTGAATTCTATCACATTCCCCGAAAGCCATCCTTTTTTTTTTAAACTTTCTCTCTCCTCTTTTTCTATAGAACGGCATCACGCCATTTTTCTTTTTTTCTTTTTCTTCCTTTTTCTCCTTTTTTTTACGAACTCGTTAATTTGTCTGGACGGCCCAGACGAACACACCTGGAAGCGGGCGTTTTACACGGGACCCGCCCGCTTGTCCATCCAGCCCGCGCTTTTTTGAGGAGTCTCTGGGTAAACCTGTTATGCTAATGGGGGTCCCTGCACGCCGGATGTACGAGAGGAAGAGGGAAGGAGTGGAGGAGGTGAGGAAGAAGAGGAGGAGGGGGAGAGGGAGAGGGAGAGAGAGGGGGGGGCGTAGAGGGAGTGGAGGAGGTGAGGAAGAAGAGGTGGATGGGGAGAGGGAGAGGGAGAGAGAGGGGGGGGCGTAGAGGGAGTGGAGGAGGTGAGGAAGAAGAGGTGGAGGGGGAGAGGGAGAGGGAGAGAGGGGGGGGGGCGTAGAGGGAGTGGAGGAGGTGAGGAAGAAGAGGCGGAGGGGGAGAGGGAGAGGGAGAGAGGGGGGGGAGCGTAGAGGGAGTGGAGGAGGTGAGGAAGAAGAGGTGGAGGGGGAGAGGGAGAGGGAGAGAGAGGGGGGGGGCGTAGAGGGAGTGGAGGAGGTGAGGAAGAAGAGGTGGAGGGGGAGAGGGAGAAAAAAAAATATTAAACAAAACCAAACAAAAACACAACAAACAAAACAAAAAACACAAAGGCGGAGTTCCATGGAGCAGAAGACAGCTCGTCACACAACAGACAAGGTTACTTCTCTGCGGCTTGTGGTTGGCCGTTCATCTTGCAAGCCTTAGTGTCTCTGTCTCGTTGCAACTCGGGGTCCTCTGAAGGTGCGTTGTTATGATTGACAGGTCGCGGGGCATTGCGATTGGTGGACTAATGGCCATTGCACGCTATCTTTTTTGTTTATTTGTTATTTTATTGTTATTATTATTATTGTTTATTTGATTTTTTTTTATAATTAGTTTTTTTTTTTTTTTTTTTTTTTGGGGGGGGGGCTGTGTGTCGATTTTTTTTTCTGTTTGTTTGACTTTCGGTTTCTTCTGTTTCGATCTCTCTCTCTCTCTCTCTCTCTCTCTCTCTCTCTCTCTCTCTCTCTCTCTCTTCTCTCTCTCTCTTTCTCTCTCCCTCTCCCTCTCCCTTTCCCTTTCCCTCCCTTCCTCTCTCTCTCTCTCTCCTCTCTCTCTCCCTCTCCCTCTCCCTCTCCCTCTCCCTTTCCCTCCCTCTCTCACCCTCCCTTCCTCCCTCCCTCTCTCTCCCTCTCTGTCTACGGTTAATCATAGCAAAAGCTCATTGTGATTCAGGACTGAGGTCATTTAGCAAGTAATGTTTCCCCGAAATCTAGTTAATTGTATATATTTTTACACACCACAGGAAACCGCAGACATCACGCGCAAAATTACGTAAGCTTTTAGTGTGCCTGCATTAACGCACGCGCATGCACACTCATAGACTCATTTACACACGTACAGACACTTTTATACGCAGATGCACACACACACACACACACACACACACACACACACACACACACACACACACACACACACACACACACACACACACACACACACACACACACACACGCACACACACACACGCACACACACACACGCACACACACACACACACACACACACACACACACACACACACACACACACACACACACACACACACACACACAAAGTAAAAGGAGAGAGAGAGAGACAGAGACAGCGAGAGATAATGAACGTATGGGAGAGAGAGAGAGAGAGAGAGAGAGAGAGAGAGAGAGAGAGAGAGAGAGTGAGACAGAAGCAAAAGTGAAACTGATATTGCTAACGTTTTGCAATAACAAAAGGTATGTGACGTTTGGTACTTGGTATGCAAGTACCGTTAGAGCAGCAAGCGAATACCAGCCCCTCATCTCCTTCAGCCTCTCCTCTCTTCTTTCTTTTTCCTCCTCCTCCTCCTCCTCCTCCTCTTCTTCCTCCTCCTCATTCGTCAACTTCTCCTCTTCTGCCACCTCTTCTTCCTTCTTCTACTCTTTCTCTTTCTTCAATTTCCCCTCCTCTTCTTCCACTACCTTTACCTCCTCCTCCTCCTTCGTCAGCCTATCTTCTTCCACTTCCTCCTCCTCCTCCTCCTCCCCCCCCTCCATCATCTCCTCTTCTTCCTTCGTCATCTCTTCTTCCTCTTCTCCCTCATCATCTTCCACCTGTTCTTTCTCCTCCTCCTCTCCATCTTCTGTTCCTTCTTCTTCCTCCTGTTCATGCTCACTTTTTTTTTTCTTCGTCTCTTCCGTCGCCAACTGACGAGTCTTTCAACGCTATTTATCTCTTTTTTTTATCTGATTAGATTATCAAAATTTAAGAGTCCGGGATACATGAGATTTGAGCGAAGTTTGAAGATAAGAATACCTTCGTCTTCATCTTTTTTTTGTATCATTTTCGTTCCCTTCTTTGTTATTAGTCATTTATCCACCCCCCACCCCCTCTTTTTTTTTAAACCGCCTTCGTTCTTCTGTTTGTTATCATCTTCGCCCCCTTCTTCCTTATCGTAATTTGTTATCGTCTTCCTTATCGCCTTCGCTGCCCTTTACGTTGCCTTCTTCTTCATCATCTTCGTAATCGTCGTCGTCGTCGTCGTCGTGGTCGTCGTCGTCATCATCTCTCACAAGGAGGATCTTGTTGTCTCGACGCCAACAGGAGGCGGGTGACCTACAGGGCGTTCAGACGTGGATGATTGTGACGAATGTGGGTATGCATGGGCACCCCTCCCCCTCTCCTCCCTCCCTTCCCCCTGTCTTAGCATCTCCCCCTCCCTCCCTCCCTCCCCTTCTCCTGTCCTGGCATCTCCCCCTCCCTTCCCCCCCCCTTACCCCTCCCTCCCCATGTCCTGGCATCTCCCCCTCCCTCCCTCCCTTCCCCTTGTCCTGGTATCTCCCCCTCCCTCCCTCCCCTCCCCCTGTCCTTGCATCTTCCCATCCCTCCCCACCCCTCCTCTCCCCCTCCTCCCCTTTGTCACGGATCTCTCCCTCCTCATTATTCGTTTGCACTCCCATTCTCTCCCCCCCCCCCCCCCTTAAACGTGGACAGCCCCCGAGATCGAAAATGGAATTCGTAAATGAACTTATTTTTTTTGCGTGGCCTTAGCACGTCGCTGTTTACCCGGATGGTCGAAAACACGAAAAGGGTACAGAGTGAATTCGGACAATCTGTGTCAAGGTACTGCAAGCCTCGCTGAAGGTACTTGCTCGAGTCTATGGCGGTTGCTTAGGACGCCCTCCTTCAAGTGGCCCTTCAGATGTGATGCCATAAGGGTCATGTTCCTGTGAAAACACGCGGTCAGAGTTACCGCGAGAGATTGGCATAACAAGGCTCATTATTCTATGATGGTGCTTCAAAAGATCCTTGCCCAGTCATGGTATATTGGTTGATTAGTCGATTATTGAGGCCTTCCTCTCTCTCTCTCTCTCTCCCTCCCTCTCTCTCTCTCTCTCTCTCTCTCTCTCTCTCTCTCTCTCTCTCTCTCTCTCTCTCTTTCCCTGGACCTTAATTCTCTCCTTTCCTATCTTCCTATACATCTCTTTGTGCGTGAATTCACATTTGAATTTGAAACCTGGCTAGCGGCCATTATCTCCTATTAAATGTATTCTTTTCCAATGTACAGACGTATCTGTTGACTCACATTTATGTTGTGCTTTGTAGACTCTTTTAACCAAATTGGTGGATATACCTTTAGCACAAAGCTCCCCGTGACTCTTAAAGAGTGAATAAAAGGGAGTGGATTCGAGGCAGGTCTCACGGTCGATCAGACACAACAAGCGTAGATTACAAAGTTCTGAGGTTGTATTGTGAAGTAAGCTTGGGCTGGGTCGCCTCTCTCCCTCGTCTGTGTCTCTCCCCACAATCTGTACGCACACACCCATATGAATACAGATATAGGTGTATACGTAGAAAGATAGAGATAGGTTTACGCTCACTATTGGGTGTACGTAAACTAGAATGATTCAGAAAAAATATGCAATAAGCATCGCTTGTTTTTGTTTCATGTATTTAATGATTATTCACGTTTTTTTATTGTACGCACGTGTATATATGCAAATCTGTTCTAACGTTCTTTCGTTTCCGCAGACCGGACGAGAAGAAGCACCGGACGGAGTTCGACATCTATCCGGACCTCGGGGTTCCTCTGCGAGTGAAGCTCCGCATGCAGATGAACGTGATGCTGGACCGCAGCCAGGCTCTTGAGCGCGCCCGCCACTTCGACGTGGTCCTCCCCATCTTCTGGTTCGAGGTGGGCGTGGACTCGCTGCCTGGCGAGGTGGTGGGACTCCTCAAGCTGGCGCAGAACTTGCCTCCCGTCGTCAAGACTACGAGCGTCACGCTGTGCACGGCCCTCACCCTCATCTTCCTGATGCTGCTTCTGGCGCAGACGGTGGCGGCGTGGTGCGGCTGGGGCTCTTCGGGGGCCAGCAAGCGCCCCCACACGCCCGAGCACCTCCCGGCCCACCACCACTACCGGACGTCGACGCCGCCGTGGGACTTCGAGGACATGCACAAGCCCAGAAACGGCTCCCCGAACGGCTACAAGGAGCCGCTGGCCACCGGCCTTCCTCAGCCCGGCATAGACATCCCGATCATCGACGACCACACCCTGCTCCCCCCCTACCGCCGGCGGGACACGTCCGACTCGGCGAACGCCTCGGCGCCGCCCGACGAGGACGACGACGACCACGACCACGACCACGTTGACGGCGACCAGGTCCCTCCGCCATACAGCCCGGGGCCGCAGCAGCGCACGCCGTCCACGGTGTCCGTCGAGATCCACACGACGGCCTCCGACGACGACCTCCCCGACCTCCCTGTGGACCCTCCGCTGATGCACACGGTGCCCTTGGACCAGTGTCCGCCCGAGTACGACGAGGCGACGGAGGACCTCCCCCCTCCTGAGGACCTCGACGAGCCCCAGAAGGTGACGCCGTCCACGCCTCCGCCGCAGCCGGGCGAGGCCGTCGTGGCGCCCTTGGCACGTATCGACGAGACGCGCATCGACAGCAGCTCGGGGCCGTCCAACCCGCCGACGCCTCCCCAGCGGCCCCCGAGGTCTCCCAAATCGCCGAGACGACAGTCACCGTCTCGCTCGACGCCCTCGCCGAGGCCGACGGCGCCGCTGGCGACCTCGAGTCCGCACGGGTCCAACGGTGTTAGTGCTAGTCGGAGCGATCTGCCGCCGCCCCTCGAGTCGGACTTATGAGGGGCGTGGACAGTAATTCCCTTTTCTCTTATCATTTTCAGTTATCGCCATTGGCCGGGCACAGACTGCGCTAGAGTGTGCACGTTGCCTGGTCGATAGAAAGCTTACACAATTGAAGAAAAGCTTAGATAGCAATTAAGTGCTTTCCTGCCATAAGTATTCATTATTCGCTGTGATCTTACAACATGACAATCATTCGTCCTGCGTTTGCGCCGAGGACCCCCTCTCCTTAGGATTCAGTCAAGTTGCTCACACAGTTGCCATACTGTTGTTCATAGGCATTATCAACTGCGGTTCCATGTCATTCCTGACCTACGGGTTTCTCTCTGTGTATTATTATTCTGGCCAAGTGCAACAAAGAGGACCATTCGTACTGTGGCTTCCGGCTGTAGGCTATTTCCGTGAAAGGGGAATGAGCTGTTAATGCAGGACGATGTCTGTGGCACCAGCTTGATTTTTTTTTTTCTCTTTTTTTTTTGGAAATTTTCTGTCGAGTATTTTTTTTTTCCAAAACGAAAGACATGTTTTCATTCACCTTTTCCCACTACCTTTGATCTCATTCTTTGTTCATCCATGTGTAATGAGGAATTTCTCTCTCTCTCTCTCTCTCTCTCTCTCTCTCTCTCTCTCTCTCTCTCTCTCTCTCTCTCTCTCTCTCTCTCTCTGTTATTCCATCTCATCTGATCACATTTTAGTTTGAACATTCTTTTCCTATCATTTCTAAAGGTTGTGCTTCAGATTTTTATTAATCTTTTCTTTAAGTTCAGTAAAAACTGTAAATAGAAAAAAAAACGACAGCGTGGCTTCAGATCAAAGATTTTTTTAAGCGAAGTCATTAGAAGGTGTAAAGGGCATTCACACAAATTTGACATATCATACTCGACCGGTATGATTTACATAATATTAATAGCAAGAACTTCCAAGACTGAATGTATTTAAGTATGTTCACGAACATAGAATAGGAGTCTAATAGAGGAAGAAGAAGAATGAAAAAAGTCACAATTATATAAAAAAAATGAATAAATAAACAGTATTTGTGAATAAGATATGTATATTCTTGCTCACGTATTGAAACCTTTGATGGTTCCTGCAATATCCAGTCATGTGTCTTTCATATCTCTCTTATCCTGATTGCGTCATCCTATCCTGCAACAGCTGTCATAGGATCGGCCAGTGTATCCTAACAATCCTTTTATAGGAATGAATGCGTTTTTTTTTTTTGGTAGATTTATAAACGAATATCTACTGTGGAGAGAGATATTTTGCCGAGGTTTTATTGTCGTTTATATATGTAAGATTTTTTTTGTGATGGTGTTATGTTGTGATAGGGAGAGTGTGAGGCATCTTTTTAACACGTGGAAGTGAGATGTGAAATATTTAGGAATTTGTGAAGAACGATTAACAAGAATGACTTATTTCCTATCCTCCCGATTTTAAAAAGAAAAATGATCGTGTACATTTCTCAATTTACCCTTCCTTTCATGAATGAACGTTGAAAACTAATGACGTGTACAATTGGCATCACTGTATCCCTCCATGAAATTCCATAGGCCTATACAGTATTATGTTCCTGATTATCCATCTTGAAACGCCTAGTATCCTCAGCTGTTTTATAGTCTACATTTTTTCTCTAGTACACATTGTAGTTTAACGCTTTCGCCATGTTTTTTTTCCTTATTTTTTCATGTAGGATGTGATCTTCATTTCATAATATTTCTCCGTCTGTAGGAATTGCTTACAAAAAAAAAATAGCCTATGTGATTTCATTACCTTTTTTTGTAATCAACGACCAATGATTTTTATATTTATATCATAGTCTGCTTTAACAGTATCTTTGTATGTCATATTCTCCAGTATTTTAGTGCTATACAATGCACACCATACA